CCCCAAAACCCCAAAACCCCAAAACCCCAAAACCCCATAGACAAAGATTGGTTATCAATATTAAGTATGTAGGGGTTTTAAAGATATGTAAATATATAACTTTTTATTAAAATAAAATAAGAGAAATGCATCTATACTAATCAACGAGTAACTTAACATTTTACATTGATACAAAGTTTCAGTTTGTTTATGATTAAATGGCCTTGGTTGATAGGATAGGTGCATTCTCAATAAGAGATTTTATTCAATTTATTGATTACTTGTATCCCTTTCAAGCCATGAAGTTGGTTCCTGCGTCCTTGAAATAGTCCTCTTAAACATCCATGCTTGTCAATGACTCTCCGCAACCCTCGCAGTAGTCCATGCCAAAGTCATTCATCTTTTTACAGTTCCAGCACATTATATAAGAGCTAGTCTAAGTGCCATAGCCTCCTACACTCACTCCCATGCCACTAATGTTGATGCTTGGAGCGACCTGTCTATAATTAGACTGAGATGAACTTTATGCTGGAGCATTAAGATCCTCCTTTACTTGAATACTCATCTTTAGTTCCCCAAATGGCTTATGTGGTGCTACCTTTTGTAAATGGCATAAGCATCTAGTGTCATTGTCGAAGAACATTTCCTTGACATCTGACTTAGGTAATACCAAGTTAGATTATTCATCTCCCTGGAAAGTAACTCTAACTGTCATTTTGGTTCGGTTTTTGTTTTGAACTAATACTCTCAACAGAACTGGTGGCATTTCCTTGTGATTCTAGAACCAATTTATAGTCTAAACTTCTGGTAGAGGAGTTAAATCTTATACCTCTATAGTGGCCTATTACTATGGCTTTTCCTCTACTGGCTATTCTTGTGGGTCTCCAGCATTTGAGGTTGATTGGGAGTTTGCTTCCTCAGTTACAGTTTCAGTGGTAGATGTAGCTGTTTAGTCCTCAGAAGGTGTGGTTGAAGCGGTGCTATTTTTCAGAGCTTCAGCATTATCCAATTCTTGTTGAATCTTGGCTTGTCTCTCTCTTTCTAAGTTGAGACGCTTGAATTGAACGTAGGACATTGTCTGATACATATTAGTCTTAGCTTCAATGTGTGGCAGTGAGATGTTGAAGTAGTTTGTTGGGTTACTGTAATTGTACTCACATGCAACTTCATAGATAGTGACTTTGACATTAGGGTGATCGTCAATAACCATGAACTCTCTATCCTCAGCTGCTTGCTTGCCGATGATGTATCTTGGTGGATAGTGAGGAATAACATCAGTGTTGCTATGCACTAACCAATCTTTTTCAATTTCAGCCATTTGAGCTGGGTCCTCTAGCTTCTCTTTTTCATATGCAGCCTATTCTTCTTCCTTGTACTCCTTGGTCTTCTCCTCGAATTTATTTAAATACTGAAGTGCTTTGACGATATTATCATACTTATTCTTGAAGAATCCATTGAATGAGTAGGATTTCTGAGTGTCAATAAGTTGGGATTCAAGGTATGGTCTGAACCAGTCGCTGAATCTAGCTGTTTGATAGGTTACAGGGGCTGTGTTGTACACGAATCTGGCAATCTAGTCATCCTTGGACATCAAGCTGAGCATCTCAACCAAACACTGGATGCAGTTGGTATCTTGTCTGCTCTTGCACTTTAAGAGTTGAGAGAACAAAGACTCATCATTTGGTCCTGAAATAAGGGGACTCATATAAGTGTAAGCATCTTCATTGATTCTATCTATTAGCTCCACTCCGTATTTGTATTTATCCTCTCTGTAGGTCTTCTTTTGATTGATTTGAGGGAAACCAAACACCCACTCAAGCTTTAGTTGCTTGAATTCATCTTCAATTCTCAGGAATGGCTTTAATGCTTTTAAGTAGCTCTTTAGATTATCTCCATTGCTGGTGTTAAATGCCTTAATGAAGACCTTGGAGACTTTGCGACTCAGTTAGTAGTTGTCTCTGCACATGTTAGCAAGACAAACTCCGAATTACTTAGCTCCTGAGGCAGCACCTAGCATAATTTTGAGCATTTCTTAATGAAGCACAAGTTTCTTCTCCATATCTGAGAGTGGAAATCTTGAAAGGATTTCCTCATTGGAGATCATATGAGTAAGAAGTTTAACAAATGGTGTGAAGTTTGGAGCGTTGTAACCTCCCATATCTAATCTCTTTTCCCCTGGCTGCATAAGTGGAGATTTCTTGCACAATATAAAATCGCATGCCTTTGTCACAAATTGATTTTAAGCCAAGAATACTAATCCCACTAAATCATCTAAGGTCTTTTCTTTCTATTCAACTATTTTCAAGGGTTGAGTCTTTAGGAAGCTATCTTCAAAGCTCTCCATAGCGAAGGAGTAGATCATGTCGAGGAAGTGATCGAATCTGGACCAGTTCTTAGCAACTTTAGTCTTCAATAGACTTAGAGCCTTGTCAATGAATCTTGCACTTAATGCCTTGAACTGAGTAACTGTTACTTCTTCGCCATTTGGATTAGTTGAAGTAATCTCAACAGTCTCGTTTAGGTAATCTTTTTCAACAACCTTAAGCTTATTTAGAATGAACTTCATAAGTGTGGCAACGTAGAGTCTACTAGTGGTATCAGTACAGTCTAGCAAAATGTCAAAGATATAGTTGCAGTCATCATCTCTGAAGCATTCTTAGAGGAAGGAAGTGCAGAGAAGATTGTCTCTGTTAAGCACATCAATCAGACCTTCAACTAATTGCTTGATACTGTTATTGTGGAAACTCTTAGCCAATAAGTCAAGAATAGTCTTCTTGGCAACTGAGAGCATGTTGACTTTGGCATTCTAGAGTTCCTAGGTGTTCTAGTTCTTGCCGTCCTTATCAAGTACATTTACAGCTAGTACTATTTGTCTGACGAACTCATAGAACTCGTTAGAGTAGATGTCGTTTTCAAACTCGAACTTGTGATTGTCCTCAAACACCTGCTTGTATATTTGGTTTGGCGCAATATCCTCTACACCTTGTCTGTAGTCAATCAACTTGTAATGTTCTTCCTTCTTGGCGTCATAGAGTAGCTTATCCTTGTTATGCTCAACTTCTTCTGGAGTAGCAAGGATCTTAAGTGGTCTCTTCTGTCTCTTCTCGTAGACAAGCATGTAAGCACTCTGACCATAGCTGCCTCCGAATGACCATGAATCGGTATCACCTCCTGATTTACCGTCTCCACCGAAGCAATCATCCTTAAGTTTCTCAGCATTGTATTCTGAGACAGTGGAGTCGTTGAACTTCATCCAAGGATCGCTTTCAGTCTTGCCCCAGTCTGGATCATCTTCGTCTGGCTCTTCAGCACCTCTTCTCGTGTTAATGAAAGACCAGTAGTGACCTGCGTTTGCTGTACCGGAATGAACATTTACTCCAACCAATTTATATTCAAAGCAAGCTTCTTCTTCTGGTAGAATGTTGTCTTCATCCTGAGCTTGAGTTGCGTCTTGATCTTCTTCCTCAACCTTTTCAGTCTTAAGTCTGTTTTCCTTTTTCATAACCTCATAGAATGAGTAAGGTTTGAGGTCTAGAGTGAATGGGAACTCGAAGTAGGTGTTGATCTTGTCATTTCTGAATGTCTCGAAGTTGAACAGAATTCTCTGCAAGTGCACGATAAGTACATTTGGTGCTTGAGAAATCAGAGTTCTTCTCGAGATGTCTACCTTCTTCTTGCAGTTCTCGCAGTTGTAGTCATTAATCACCTCTCCTTCAACCAACTTCTACAAGCTGTCGTAGATTGACTTGGTGTCCTTAACAGTAAGTGAAAGGTTGTAGAAGTCTTCGATTCTGTTCTTGGTCTTTTGGCACTCGCTGCACACCATTTGACTGCAAGTTTGGCCGCTGAACACTGACTGAAGTAAGTACTTCTGAGTAGTTCCTCTGAGTAAGTTTTCGATTCTGTCGAATGAGAGATTCAAGAATTCCTAGGCGTCTTTTTGCTCAGCAGTGTTGGTTGGGTTTCCATCAAGGTCCTTGAAAGCAAAGCAGAACTCAACTGGGTTGAACTCTAGTCTGTCACTCAACTCCAAGTGAGCCATCAGCTTCTAAAGTTGATGCAATACGTTATCATCGATTTTCATTCCCTTGTAATCTTGAATGTCGTCAGCTACTTTATCATCAACGCATAATAGGTTGTATCTGAAAGCGGGGATCATGAAGAACTGTTAAAGCATTGAGTTCAAGTAGCAAATGCATCCGAGATTTCTTAAGCCAACGTACTTTTGTGATTTCTCAGATAAACCAGGTGGCGAGTAATTCCATCCATCGTGTCTCTTAATCAGATTCATAAGAGGGATCATGGACTTCTCGAGGAAGGAATTCATTAGTAATGGGGATTTTTTGATAAGTGAGTTTAGGAGTTTGTAGGCTGAGTCCTTTGACTTCTTGCCAAATCCTCCCTTTTTGCTTGAAGCAGTACCTGAGCGAGATCTTGGCTTGATTCTAAGGTTTTCAGTGCTATTCTGAGAGTCTTGTTGGAACACTGAAGCGAAAAGGAACTTGACAAAAATCTCATCAATTAGGCTCTTTTGCTCAACAATCTTCTCACTGAAACTGATGTCGAAGTTCTCAATGATCTTTCCTGTAAGTTGAATCAAACCTATGTAGATCTGTTCTTATTCAGACACTGCACCACCAGATAGCAAGTTATCATCACTTGCTGGTGAGGAACTTTCAATTGCTGGTTGAGTGGATAGCTTATTGTATTCTTTTATCTTATCAATAATGAGACCAAGAAGACTCTCGGGGTTGAATACCTCTTCTTAGTTGTCACTGCTTACTCTTAGGTTCTTGAAGGTAAAGTACTGATCAATAAGATCGCAGAATAGTTCAAAGTACTGCTTGCAGTGATAGTTTGAAATCTAGGAGAAGTTTTGTGAAAGTAATTTCAACAAGTAGATTAATGGTGTCTACCTAACGTTATCAGCTGCTTGAAGTCTTTGAGAGAGTTGGCCAAGTGATAGTTTGAATTCCTCTCTAACTTTATCTTGCTCACAGTATAATAGACCTTAAAGGATGAAGTCATCTGATTGGAATTAATAGAAGTCATTCAATAGTTCACTCTTATGAAGAATGCATCCAACCCAGAGGCTAAGAGCATTCTCAACAATAAGTTTGTCCTCGAAAGACATTTGCTGAGATCTTCTTGAAGTCAAGATTTGTAGAATAAGGCTGAGGATCTTGCTTTGTAGTTGCTAGTAATCAATTTGAGAGATGATTTCCTCACCAATGGGGCCTTATAGGAGTTTTTGTAACTCAGCGAATCTTGAAAAGTCTTCATTGACTTACTCTTCTTGCTTGTTTGGTTCTTCCTCTTGAACATTTGATGAAGTTCTTCTAATGAGGTTGAGTGAATCATAAATTTATGAGTTGGAGCTGGTTGAGAAGGCAGCACTGATGAAGATTCTGAGAAGTTTCAATAAGAAAGCCATATGCTTTAATTCAAATTAGTTCAAGTTCTAGTCATCAGTGTTGATTTGCTTCTCCATAAATACTTTCAAGATGTATTGGAAACCTTTGTTCTTGAGGAACATTGAAGTCCATCCTGATCTGAGTTATCTGTCCTCGTCTTCATCTCTTACAACAGTTGAGTGCTTTTTCAATGCAATTGGAAGATTTGGCTCCTTTTCTTGCAAATTGGAGGCAACCTCTTGCTTTTCGATCTTTGGCTCATCAAAGTTAACAAGTTCACCGGGTGGCATAGGGCCAACAAGAGGTGGAGCAACTGGAACATTCTTCTTCTTATCTTGGACTTCTTCAACAATGACAACGCTTTCAAGACCTTCACCTTCTCCTTCTTCCATAACAGCTTCGACAATTTAGAGAGTGTAAAGCAGTTTGTAAACTGATTGACCATCAAAGAACTTAGACCAGTCAATTTAACCTGTTGAGGCATCAGTTGCAGTCTCTAACTGTAGAACTTTCTTGTATAGCTATTGATTGGTTGCAAGCATTTGAATAAGATCCCATGAGGCTTGAGAAGCTTAGTCTTATCTATCAAGGAGTGAGATAAGTAGGTTGAATTGCTCTTAGTTTCTTGATATCTTGTATCTTGGCATATCTTCGGTAGAGAATGATGACTCCTCTTGAATCTCTGATAATTTCTTCAAATCATTTCTGATATTATGTTGTCTCAAATTCTCTCTGACTGTATCAGATTTGGATCTGCAAGCATCTACATAGAACTGCAAGAATTCGGTTCTTTCGATTTTTCCATCGGAATTGATATCATATTTCTTGAACATGTTGAGAATACGATCATCAGTTGGTTGAGGGTGCTCACCAGTACAACCCTTGATAAACAGGGCGCAAGTCTCTTTAGTCATACCTCCAGTTTCATCACTGTACATGTCAAACCATTCGTTGAAGATTTATGTTGGCTTTTCTAAAAGTTTGCCATCTGATCCCAATAGTGGGGCATTAGGAATTTCCTCCTCAACTGTGATCTTGTAGGCAGTTACCTATTCATTGCTTTGCATGCCAAGTTAGGCTAGTGTCTTACCGTTTTCAAGATCCTTAATGACTCTACCTCCAGAGATCTCAAGTTTCAAGTATTGTGGAGCAAGATCGAGTTACTTTGAAACTTCTTTCTTGAAGTCCCAAACAGTAGCATTAGAGTAGATCTTCATTAGGATATTCTTTTGCTTATTTGAAGTTCTATTCTTGATTAGGATACCTTCTAGTAGCTCACCCTTAAGTAGAGCATTGTGTGGCTTTACATCACCAGTTCCTTTCTTTTCAGTTTCAAATACAATGCTTTTAATGATCTCGATGACTCTAATAATAGTAGCCTCATCCTTGGATTCTCTGAGGATTTATAAGCATTTGTCAATAAGATTATCTTGAATGTCAAGCTTTTGGGTATCTAAATCACTGTCGATGCTATAGTAGACTCTAATAAGGAAGTCAATAGCTTTTGGAACGACTTTAGGGTTCTCACAGTTGAGAGCCATGTTCCAGACAATGTCTAGCTAGTCAAGTTCTTAAGGTAGCTTAACAATCTTAAATTGAGTTTGAACTTCTTCATCTTGCTTAGGATAGTTGTTATTCTATCTTTGGCCATATTATCCCATTGCATTGAAGCCATAGGTAATTGATTGATAGCCATAGTTATTGAATCTTGACTTATTAGCTAGTTTCAAGGAGGGAGTAATCTTCATAACTTTTTGTTGGCTTTCATTAACACTAATGAAGTATTGTTGTAAGAAATCGAATCCAACTACCATTAGATTTTTAAGATCAAGTTCCCCATTATTCATCTTTTCAGTGAAGAATTCACCAACTTCATTCAAGTCTAGGATCTAGGCAGTAGCAGTTGACATTTCACATGAAGATTTGCACCAATTTAAGAACTCTTCGTAGTCTGATTAAACAACAAAGTTTTGAGAATTGCAAAGGAGATCATAAACTTTTCCAAGCTGGGATTTTGTGATCTTGTAACTTTTTGTGGCTGACTGAGCTGGAACGATGATCTATTTTAGGAAAGTAAGTCTTTCATCAATCTCTTCATGATGGCTGTGTTTAGTGCTGGTTAGGAATAGCTTCTTTCTGGTTTCGTTTTTGTTACTGTCGTTAACCTTTGGCCTGGCATTGTTTACATACTCTCTAAGGTTATCAATAATAACCTCAATCAAGTTGTTTTCTTCAATAAGAGTGCCAAGAGATGAAGCTAATGTCAATTCTTGTACTTCTTCTTTTGCTGCATCCTTAGTTGGAGAGTTGCCATAGTTATATTGATATCTATCCTTTTGATCTTTAACTAGACCCTTGAAAAGTCTGAGACTGGAGATGGATGATCTGTTTTCAGCAAGGTTTTTGGTAAGCTCAATGAAGAAAGAGTGTTTACGACCAATATCCCACAATTTGACCATTTCGCAGAACTTGTTGATGCAGTTATTTACTAAGTCCTCCTTGACGAAGTCTGAGTTGCAAATGATCTTCCAGAAGAACTCACTTACATTCACCTTGAACTGGTCATCCTTGGAGAATTTACCCAATTCACTCAGACATTGGAATTCTTCAATAGCTAGCTTTTCGCCTGGGATTTAACTGATCTACTCGAAGAAGTAGTTAATATGCTCTTGCTTGAAGAAGAAGGCGCATTCGTTCATTATCTTGTATACTTCAAATTTGTAATCAGCTCTTGTTAATTGCCAGAATTGCTCCATCAACTGCTCAGTCAATGCACTTTCTTGAAGTAAGAGCTTCAAGACATCATTACATCTTTGAACAATTTGGAGATGAGTCTTTTTGGGGTCAAATAGAATTCCGAAGACTCCATTATCTTGCATCCATTGAATCAAGAACTGAGCAGTGAAGGCTTTGTTGCTGGTGCTGAACATTCTCAAGTTCTTGATGATTTAGTTCAAGTCTCTGATACCCTGGATTCTTCTCTCAAGATAGGATGATTTCAAACACACTAAGGATACCTCAAGCTTAAGAACTTCTGTCTGTTTCTCTCTTTCCTCTCTTGAAATCAATCTTCTCTGGAAACTATCAATACTCTTAATAATGCTCTCGATTTTTTCTCTTCTGACATCTCTAAGGCTCTTTTCTGGAGCGTCTCTTAGTGCTTTAACACAGATATTGACCAATTTAGGTCCAAACTCCTAGATGAATTCCTTGTGATAGACAAGATAAGGATATGCGATGATCTAGATCAAAGATGCCATTGCATTCAGTGTAATGCTCTACACATTATTTCCATCTTCATTAGTTGTTTCACCTTCTTACTGTTGAAGGATATTGAGAATAAGATCGAAACCGCCGTTGTTACCAAACACGTTAATAATTCTCATGAAAACTGATGAAATGCATTTTCTGATTCTAGGAACTGCATAGACTCTGCTGAATCCTTCCTAAATTGGCATCAGACTATCTAATTCCTCATCAAGGTCCAAGTCATCAGAAGTTCCTTTCAAAGTTTTTGTCAGGAAAGGCATTATTCTTGGAGAATAGAGGGCAATCCACTCATCGAATTTGGAAGACCATCCTTCAAAAGCTCCTCTGTCATCTGATTTGCTTCCGTTTTCAATATAAACTCTATAGGCGACGAAGGCCATCTTAACAATTCTGTTGGGAGTGACTTGGTTGTCCTTGATATCAAGAATGGTGGACTTGTTCCACACTGACTTGTCATTGGCGTCAACCATCATGTTGGTGAGCACAGTTGTCTTCCATTCCCAAATCTCCTTGGTCTTGGACTCATGCAAGGCGATTTCAACTGACCACCTATCTAGGTACCTGTCGACTGCCTTCACATCATAGATAAATTCCAATTGAAGGATATCTCCGTTGACAGAAGATATGCGAGCTTACGACCATCCGCTACATCTTGAATTTTATTCATCAACAATTGCATCAACCATGTCTCCCTCCTAGAGACCTTTTCTCCACTCTTGGTTGGCACTTCTGAGGGACTTCAGTTGTTCCTCAGGGATTTAGTATTAGTAGTTGTGCAGAATAGAATCATGTTCAAACAGAAACTTTATACTGTCGAAAAATTATTGGTTATACACACCTTATTTCAGCAAATCAATGAACAACAGAGTATATGTCTCTAGAACTGAACTGATTACATCCAAATACTATAAGTTTATTAAGATATGACATGAGAATCATAACTGATATGCTTACTTTGTCGTCTCTTGACCTTTCCCTTGTCAATCTTTTCAAAAGTCCACTGGTGAAGTCCTCGAAAAAGTACTTCTGGTAGTCCTTGTCTGATTTCTCAAGGAAGCCTGCTGGGTCGGCGTGAATAGCTTTAAGGAAGTCTGCGATCTTCAAGAGATCTTCCAGTGGTTCCTTGTTGCGATCTATTTATAATCGAGCTGCTTCGAAAGTATCTTTTAAGTCTTTGAGTTAATCTATCATTTAGTATTATTTTATTTATAAAATCTCCCAAATTCAATACTTCACTTAATTTTTCAGAAGTTCTTGCATTCTCATACTTTCACCTAGATTCTTCTTATTGGGGTTTTGGGGTTTTGGGGTTTTGGGG